AACATACGAAAGGGCTTCCGGGACAAAGGTAGAGTTCCCACTGTATCGGAAAAAATTAATTGATAAACTCGTATTATATAATTGAATCATTCTTTTCATTACCATTTACCTTCAAGGATATTTTCTTTGAAAATTTCAATATACCCATCTCTGTCAGCACGAGTGTGCTCATGCGCCCATCCCAACAAATGTTGGAACTCATGTAGAGCAATTACGAAATAATCACAACCATCATCGAGTGAAACTTTCTGTTCACCATTCTTCGCATTTCCAAGAAATGAACTAAAAAAGATGAAAACTAATATTTGCTAAAATATACACATTGTAGTTTATCTTCAAATGTTTGTGTATTGCTATTAACAATTGGCAATCTTCATCAGCTATTCCCAATCTAATGCATCCCTTTAAATCAGGGGTCGGCAACCTACGGCCCGGAGCAATATAATCCGGCCCATGACGCTTCACTAAATTATAGCTGTTTTGTCGATTATATTCTCTACGCCAAAGAATTTACGTTAGACTAAATTATATAATAACGTAACAAGTATATAATTCACAATTACTCGTTTAATGAGCCTATAATTTAATTATAATTTAGACAAATGGCAACAAAACGCAGAAAAGTTGATGCTAAGTGCAAATGGTTAAATGGCGCAAAAAATATTGAAATGGTCAGTCTTCGTGTGCTGTTTAAAATTTAACTTCTGATCTGTGTGATAAAATGTGATTCATCGGTCATCCATTCGATTCTTAACTTTCTAAAAATATGTGCGACCCGCCAATGACTTGCAACCTTTAATTTTGGCCCACGGGCAATAAAAGGTTGCCGACCCCTGTTTTAAATCATGCATTGTACAAATGTTCGGCTTCAAATGGGATAGCATAATATGAGATATTTTCTTTTAAACAAAATAGAAAATGGAAGATCAGGGAACATCTATTCTACAAATATAGTTGTTACAAATTGTGATTATATTCTAAAAGTCATCTAATGATGGGGTTAAAAGTGCTATTGACTGAATTTCTGCGGGACTAACTACTTGCACTTCTTGTATGTTTTCGCGTCGGTGGATCTGTATGCATATAATACAAGTATGCTGTAGCAAAGATTGAAGGTACCGTACCTATTCTAAGTGTATGTCATTATATAAATTGGAAACTTTAAATAATAATAGAAATCTCTTATGATAAGGACATCTCGAATAAATATGCTAAAAACATAACATGATTTAAAATCCCACCTTTCTAAAATATAACTAATATATTCAAAATTCCAAATCTAAATGTATCTTCAACTTACGTGCATCCTTCACCAGATACAATAAGAGCATAATCTTTTTCAGTGGTGCGAGGTACGAATTCGATGCAAAGCATTTTTGTAAAATATTCGAAAGTTTCTTCGATAATTTGCATTTTTCTTCGACCTAAAAATATACCAAGCAAAGAAACCCAAAATAGTTTATTTTATGAATATTGGATTAAAAACTAACACTGTATTAGTTTGCTTTGTTTTGCTTACAAGATAAAATGCTCCACTCGCATACACAAAGATTCAGAAACCAAGCAATACACCATCTCTCTCATATAAATATTAATATATTTATTTTTTCGAATAAACTAAGGCCGCTACAGAAATGTCACACAAAAACGTGGGGATACATAGCTGTATGATTGTTTCAAAATTTGATCTGAAACAAACTTTGCAAATACGAACTTATACTGCTTTAATTGTCTGGTCTACATTTCTTCCAGAACATCAATCAGTAATAGCTTGTATAACTTGCTTCACTATTATACACATAGATACACACTCGCTTTTATATTATCATGCAAAGTATATGGTATTCTGTTTATTCCATCCACAACATCGTCAGTCCAAAGATGAGTAGAAGTAGTTACTGAGCCATAAAACAAGTCAAAATCTTCTTTTTCATCCAAATATCCATATTCCTGAAATTGATTTTATTATATACGATTAAAATTTCAAGAGAATTTTGTTGACCAAATTTGAAACTATTGCTATATAGAAAATCCCCTATTACATTTAAACGATGTTTGCAATGATCATAATTTTGATCGAATGAAAATGTACAATATTTAAAAGAAATGAAATATAATTATTGGCGCAACTCAAGAATTCCAGTCAAGACATGACTATGCCTTGATATAATACTATCATTAAGGATTTATTCCTTTAATACATAATTCAATTCAAAGTATTTGGAGAAAGCTTGCAGATAATTTACAGAAACTTATTTTCAGTTATGCGGAAAATTTTGAATTATGTAAATGTCGTAATTATTGACAAAAAGCACCAAGTTTTAGTAAATAGTCCAGAACAGTGTTTACTCCCATTGAATTTTGTGCTGCACAATGTCTGTAGTACTAGAAAAAAATTGGAACACGCCGACTAGCATGTAATGTTTTATGCCTTGGTCATATGCTGTAACATTCTTGCTTTCATTTCTAAAAGTATTTGAGCAAATGTGTGACTTTGCTTGATATTATATTTTTGTGAAATTTACCCTTAAACAGTGTGTCAAAGAATTCCTAAACCCAATTTTACTTTGTCAGTTTGCACCTGCCCCATAGTTATGCCCTTGTACCCCCCCCTCTTAGTATTCTACCATGGATTAAATCCGTAAGTACACATTTGAAGATCTCCGTATGAATATAATATTGTAAACAAGGTATCTATCACTTTATATATATCTTTATGTGAATCATATAAACAAATACATGTTTAAAATCTAATTAGATTGTAAAAATAACATTGAAAACAGAATAACAATCACCTTGGCCATGCTATTAATTTGAGATATATCATATCGTATGTCCCCTTGATATTGGCCATTCTCTGCGCATTCACAACTCGTCTGACAACCATTATCATCTTTTCGGTAATCAAATGGACATTCAAATTCACATATTTTATTATCGAATGTACAGTGAGTAACCACTGAAATTTAAAAAAAAAAAGATTAAACAGTTGTCGTATTCTGCTGAGAGTTTTTGGGGGAGTCATGTTTATTCCATCCAGTAAAAAAGCATATAAAATTAAGAGGGAATGAGATTGAACACACAATTTTATTTGTGAAGGATAACGACAGATAAACAAATAAATGGTTAGAAAATATGGAATGCACTCATGTAAAATATTGCCAAGCACAGTCCAACCACAGAATCTCCGTTCACATAACCCAGTGCTCGCAACTCGATAATTCTGTAGAGTGGGGGGATACTGAGTTTCCTCGAAAATAAGACCTAGCCTGAGTTTTAAAAATGATATTAATATAAGCCCTCCCTTAAAATAAAACCTACAGGTAAGTGATAGCGTGAAAGTTTTTTTGACCTAGTCGATAGCAAGAAGTCTCTCCTACACAGTTAAATGATTAAACTAAAACGTGTGAAAAAGGAAAACGTGTTATTCATAAGTCAAAGGATATCGGTTTTCACATTTTGTATATTTAAAAATCCTGTAATTCTCTACTTAGTAACTTTGTTCTTGATAAATAAAAATAAGACATGAACCTAAAATAAGCCCTCGTGTTATTTTTCGAAAGAAAATCGAAAGGCATTTTAATATACTAGGAAGGCTACTACAGTATACTATTTTTACTTCAGCTACTACTTCGAAGTCGTGCAACATGAGTGTCAAGAATATCGAATGACATCACCCAGCCATATATTAAACTAATTAAAATAAGGTACCGAAATTGTCGCAGAGAAATACAGTGTCTCTTACGTACTTGAACACATATTTATTTCAATCGGTGAGGGGTCTTCCACATTACAAGTCGCATCTTGAAATGCTTTCCTTTCTGATTCACCTTCATCTGTATAGAATTCGGTTTATATGTCTTTCATTCATGTAGCTAACCATTGTATATAAATGTACCTATCCAAAAATTGAACACTGTATTTGTATTTCAGGAACGAAATTTGATGCCATTTTAACTTTAATCTACAAACCCAAAAAATTAAATTTTTTCGAAATATAATATTTTTTCGAAATATACATCAAATTTTTTATAAACCCAAAAACGAAAGCTTGAGGTTGATCGACGAATAATATCTTCTATGAAGCATATTATAGTCATGATTCAACAATACAACAGATCAATTCAAAATTAAATTTTTGAACACAAAAGTATTCTAAATTGCATACCTTGCATCAGCATTGCTATAACTGCAATGATTCCAATAACAATAAAGAGAATGAGTCCACCAATAATTATCAACTTCACAGGGGATGAAGACTTTGACGCTGATAACGGAAAAAATTCAAAAATGTTCATAAAAACAACAACAGTCAATGCTAAATATAACTCAAAGATAACTACCGGTGATATAGCCATCACAATATCAGTAAAATTGCGCCAAATGTTGAAAAAATTGCATTTACTCTCACATGGAGATGTTTCCATCAATGATAAAAACTAGCAAAAACTTGTAGTGGTATATACCATATAGGACCCCGTACGGCTGAAGAAAAATTACAAACAAACAAAATTAATAGATTTTCAACGACTCTCTTCATCTTTGAGTACTGAAAAATCGAAATCAATTGGACCAATAGTTGCGAAGAAAAGCGATTTTTCACAAACACACAGCAAAATGATCCATGGGTTCACTTCGTGTCCAAAATAACGGCACATGAAATTATGCAAATAATGTTGCTACTAAAATCATCATATTATCAAACTGGCACAAACCAGACCAAGAAGACTGTAGATTAGAGAGCGCAAATTGCGAATAGAATTCTAATAATCACACAAACTCAAAACATTAGGCCTGCAAAATAATGCAAAAGACATCTTAAATGTATTGAATTAAGCCTTTTCTGTATCCAACATCTTAAATTTTGAAATATTGAATTTATAATATTATCTGTACAGATAAAACCATCACTCAAAATAGAAAAATTATTTGAGCTGACCTGTTTCCATTGTCTCTAATATTCCCGATTGTTTCTTTGTAGATTAATTTGAAAATATACACTTGAAACTGGGTTATAGAATATATACTTGTAGCTTGCTCCCTTAAGTATGGTCTGAAAGACATTATAGACAACATTATTTAATGAAGCTTTTAAGATAGAAATCTCATGAATAATATATCCGGATATATTAAACGAAACTGTACCAAATTTTTATTTGTTTATTCATAAACATGATGATAACTATATTGTCATTATAGATTCTAACCCTAACCTTGGTTAGTAGAGCAATTACAGAGTATAAAAAATTGAATTTGCTATGACTCAATGAGGAGCAATTAGGCAAAAATTTGATTTGAAGAAATGTCTCACCATGGCACCTCAGGAAGCCATATATTGATATGAACACTCCATAGCGACTCAAATCATTTCTTTGATTTTCAAAACGCTGTGTATTCGTTTTTCAATATCAAGAAATTATAATCCGTTTCATAACGAAGACAAATTTTCTATCTAGTGCCCTAATAATAAATTGACTAAAAGTAGAAAAACAAAATAAAATACAGCTGAGAATGGTCAAATCATAGACTATTCAACGGACTGAGCAATAAAATTGGCAAATAAAAAAAATCAGTACATTGATACATTGAATTTTTATAGCAATTGATATTGTGAAACAAATTTATCATAATATAAAATTTCTAGACAATAAAATCTAAATTTAAAAAATGAATTTTTAAATAACATATTTCAAGACATATCAATGAATTTTGTTGACTAGCGCTGCCTTTATTTCTACTCTCAGACAAAATTACGAACCAACTGTTCCTCTCAACTTTTTGAAATAAAGCACTGTGACAGCTGTTATAATATAAGCTATACTTTAATATACCTCTAGCATAAATCCTATGAAACAGCTTGACAATGCAATACTGAAGAACTAAAGTGATTTAACTGAACTAGGTGGAAATATTAAATTAAATATATAGACAGAATAGCAGGAACACAACTACAAATGATTGTGAAATACCCTCACATGTTAATAATACACACATCATTGAATATGACCAAGTCACAGATAACTACCGGTACTTCCTTTGAAACTGATGCAAGAATGTTTAAATCAAAATGAATTGATGAACGTTGAAATTATCTTTGAAGTAAGTTATTCACTTTTTTAATGCGAAATAAAATTAATGCAAAATCAAATTAATCAACAAAGTAATTCATTGCTTTAATTGAAGTCAATGTCGTTTAAAGTTTCAGCAACTTTCTTTTTTCTACCATGGGCCATGGCGTAGTTCAAAATATTTCATGTCGAAACTGCGTTGTGCCTGGATTCTCGCCTTAACCATGATACTTACTGCTCGAGAATCACCACTTCGATAAACAAAAACTATATAAGTGCGAATTGAATTAGAATATCTGTTTATTAGTCACATCATGGTTCATAAGTGTTTAATCTTATAATAACATCCTTTTGTTTCTCATCACAAGCTAAATCTGTTTTTCCGTCTCCATTTGAATCAACTAATAATAGAATTTTGTCTTCATCTGCACAGAAATTTCCTGCATCTGTAGCTATGTCATTGAATTTTCCTTCTGTTGTTGCAAACTTGATACTCAGACGCCTTGAAATAACAGTAAGTTTTAACTTTGAATTGCTAGATCAGGGATTCTCAACCTAGAATAATTTGACTTTTTGAAAGCAAGAAATTCACACTTCTTCCTACTACCACATGAATAGGCAACTACTTGTTCTAATTCAGTATGATCCCAACTGTGGGAACTTATGAGATTTTAATTGCTTGTAGCATAATAGGGTTACCGGGGAGCCCGGCGCCACGATCATTATATTTTCACAGGAAAAAAAGATTTAGTGGGGGTACATTTTACAGTAAAAATGGAAAACGGAAGAATACAGGATGAGAGCTCCTGCTTCAGATTTATATACATTTACAAGCTACAGACTTTAATCACGTCAGTTTGGTTGTATTATGTTAACACAATAATTAATACACAATTTCAAGCTATTACTGCAAGTCGTCACAGAACACTTTGCATTTGGACAACCCTTTGACTATCAATTGGAGAATCTCGTACATATATATCGCACTTTCTCGGCAATGCCCTAGGTAGCTGTAATGAGAATAGGCCATGGCCTGTAAGATTGGTGTCTTCACCTTCGCAGAGTGGTTCATATACCCACTGTTCGATTTTAGCATACTAGGCTTTGAAACTATTAATTTGTTAGCCGATCCAATACCCATAGGCTATAAGTCAACACTCATCCAAGATTTCATAATAACTTTTCTATTCCTAAGCTAAATCATTTGCAAGATTCATGCGCGTTTAGTTCTAACCATGGTCTCACCTCTTTGTGATATCTTTGCAAAGTAAATCAAACTTCCCATCACCATTAAAATCTCCTGTATATCTTAATCCTTTCGAACATCCTGCTAGAGCTCCTTGCCAACTGACAGAACTGAAACTATTTGTTCCTTCACCATGACTTAATTTACTGTGTTAAATTGTGTTCAATAATCAATCATCAAAAAATAACACATTGCTGGCTACAATGCTTGCATGTATGGAACATCCTCGACCCCACCAATACGGTGTCTCAAAAATGTCATGTTCCACTTGTCCCATTTTAGCACATTTGCTACATTTTCCCCATTATTCAGCGAATATTTGTGGTCAATGCTTCAGTAGCATGTGTAGTGGAGTTCATGCTATGATCTGGGTTGGGGTATATATAATCATTTAGGATAAGTATTTATTTGAAGTGAGATTCATGCAATTAGGAAAAGTGTGGGACAATTGAGAGATGACATGTTTGTGATACCTCTTACCAGATAAGAGAGGCAATGGCTTATTATCTAATGAAGTGTGCATATAATTTTTGTATTTCAGATATTTCATTGGGAGTTTAACATCCCTCCGAAAGTCTTAAATGATATGGCTTAGCAAAGCCTACCCTACTTCACTATGAATTAGCAGATGTAAATCTCAATGAATGTAAATCTCAAATATGAAACATAAATCTCACATGCACTGACCATTAGGCTTTTCCCGTAGTCTAAATGATAAGCAGTGTACAAAATCAAAAATAGTGTCAGCATTTTCTCTATTGTGACCATTACAAATACAGATACATCTTATTTGTTTCATGTAAGAGATTTTCAAACAAGAGGACAGTCACAACTCGACGGAATCGAACTCAATAAAACAGTAGTTTCAGTGCTTTAGTTTTGAAAAAAATAACTTACAATTTTCCATCCTGATTTTTACACAATGCATCTGCTTTTTCATCTCCATTAAAATCAGCAAGATTCCATAAAGATGATTGCTTACATAACGCATTTGATTTTTTAGATTTTTCAGAAAAAAGATCTTCTGCAAAATACATATTTTACATAAAACTGCTATTATCACATATCTGAAACATGACAGTAAATAAGAGTTGGAACAAATGATGAGCAAGAAAAGAATCATTTCAGAACACGAGAAATTATTCCCACAACCATAACATATACCAATTTTTAATCTAGTAAATAATGATGAGGAAAGTCATGGAGGCTCTGTTAAGAAATAGAACATTGAAAGCAGAAAATAAACTATTTTAATAGTTGTGACATACAAAGCAATATTTTCTATGAACATGAATATTATGAATGAGCATATTATTAAGTTTTAAATCTTAATATAAAATCTTAGTTATTATGTAATATTTTCTGAATTTAAATTTAATAAAAGTATAAATTACTTTCACATTTTTCTGTATTACAATCTGTTATCTCAGTAGAATTTCCTTGACATTTTTCCACTTTACATCTTCTTTCTCTGAAAATGAATTAATATACAGAACAACAATGTTACATTTAAAGTATATTAGTCAACTGAAGTTTTTATCAAAAATCAAATTTAAATTCCAGTTGTTTCTTTAACCATTATCAGATAAACTTTGATATCAACATACCATATTTCCCCCCGAATAAGTTGCTAACCTAGACCCAAGTTTTCGGCCTGATTTTGAATCCTCTAAATTTCCCATCCCTAATCCGGGGGTCTCAAAATCATACCTTCAATTTATCACTAGCAGCAGACTTATGTAAATAAAATACTATTAACGAAATTAAACAACCATTAAATTAAAACGAAATTAAACAATAGACACTTTAAATTAATACGTTTAAAATCCATAAAAGTCATCATCACCATCTTCGGACAATCGACTCCAATCTTTGACAGAAACATGGTCACCATAAGGATCATTTTTAAGGAGCAATGGTCTCGATTTTAGCAGTCCACTGGGACGATGCGCACACTTCATTGATCCATTCAATGCAATTCTTGTCATCCATCCATATGTTTTCTTGTACATGGACTGTCACACATTTCGGAATGTTTTGTTCATTGGGGAATGTTTTTCTCTTAAAAATTACCATAGGCAGCAATTTTGTCCCATCAGCAAGGCATGATAAGACTGCCTTAAAACGTTGTTCATCATAGCCTGTTGTCTTAATCCAAACGGTTTTATCACTAGCTTTATGTATCATTTTGTTTTCAACCATATAGAAAAATCGTCCATCTTCTTAATCGTTTGTAGCAAACACTCATGTTTTTGGTGATGACGAATGATATATTTCTAGAACGATGTGATTTTACAATCCCTGTCTCGCGGCAGTTTCTGCACAATTTTCGTTTTTTTTTTTCGAAGTACAAAGCCATGTCGATTCATGAAGCAGGAACACCAGCTGTTAGTTGCTTTGAGGTCTCTTGAATTTTCTTCATTTTGACTAGCCCAGTTTAGTGCAAAAAGACTCACCTGTGCACTAGTAACAGCCAGGCCTTCCTGTCGATTTACGTTCACCCATTCAACTACACATTCCTCAAGTTTTGGCCATTTCGGTGAAATGTTCTGGTTACTTTTACTTGGCATTTCTTTGAGCATGCACACATTCTGCTTACCGGTACTTCCAATCACTGACTAGTTTTTTGTTCACATAGTGTTGGCGAGCGGCATTCATATTTGAGGTTTGCAAGGCTAGCTCAACTACTTTTAGTCTGAAGGCTTCATCATAACACTTTCTTTCCTGAGATGTAGACATCTTTTCACAGCGAAATATTGAATTTAAACAAGCCTCGTCTTATTTGCAGGGTAAACTTATTCGCCAAAATATACGGTATTCATCAGAATCAATAAATATAATGTATGAACTCACCTGCTTTTGTTTCCTTCACAAGTTTGAGAACAGCTTGACCAAAGGCCCCATTCATCCCAACCATCGCCCTCTGGTTCTTTTGGCTCACAATCTTTTGTATTACATGATTGTTTATCTTCAATAACCGGTTTACCTTCACTACCTTCGCATTTAATGGACATTTCATTTTTAAAACCGAGACACTGACGTCTTCTTGTCTTATATAAAAAAAAATACCTGTTATCTCACAAAAAAAAACATTAATTTAATCATATAAATTTTCAAAAATTAAGATTTTTAATTTGTTTTGAATGAATTATTTGTTTGTTCTATCAAACCTCTCTGTTAACGGTAAAAGATTCCTACAACTTACCATGTTACCACTTCCACAAGTCTTATCACATTCACTCCAGGACGACCATTGTTGCCAGTTAGCATCAGCTGAGAATATGATAAACAAAAATGATCACATATGAATGGAAGTGACATGAAAAGCAGAATGAAAATGTTTCAATGTATAAAAAGCCCTAAGAAATTCAATCTTTTCCCACAAATTGAGATTAAAAATGGCATGAAATTACAGACCAACAAGCAGGAATTTGTTGTTTAGTTCTACAGAGATTTTAATTTTACAGTAGACACATTCTGTATGTTCAGTAAAGTAGAAAGTACCTCCACAAGCTTGAGTATTGCAATCAGAACCTTCAGAATCCTTTCCTTCACACATATCTGGCAAATTACAAGTGCGATTCCTTAATAAACAACATTTACATGTCACATATTGGTAGTACTTGAATGCAAGTCGTAGAAAAAAAATGACAATATTGCTTGATAGAAAAAAACTGATAATTAAATCTATTTTAATGCCAAAATACAATCATAAAATGTACCACCTTTCTATCAATCACATTGTTTTAATTACGTGAAGTATATCATATATACCTGACAAATAACAACAAACAAGCGAAGTTTTCTCCAATGGTTATATTATTTGTTCTATGTTTTAATGCATACCTCCATTGTAAACCACCATCGCACTCCTTAGAACAATCACCAAATTCACTCCAGTCGCTCCATTCTCCTGGACAAGCTTCATTTTCACAATCAATTCTTTCAGATTTTTCACCTAGAACAAAACAATATATTCATGTCACACAACCTGCGAATAATTCAGAATATTTTACACGGAATAGCTATCTAAAACTTTTGCAATGATTCGAGATTTACAGATGAAATACCACAGAATTTTATTTTACAACATAATACAAACATTAAGTAATTGTTAATGAGCATTGAATTACGTTATTGCATTTTGTGTTTTCAGTACAGATCATCACTCTGAAAAGGTAGTTTAGAAATATCACATCTCGGCAGTTAGCATATTACGAATTTTAAAACAAAAAAGTATAGAAGTGGTTAATCTACAAGAGCTCATACCTTCACATCCTTCAACAATTTCTTCCTTTGCATCTTTACAAACTCGAAATCTTGACTTCTCCCCTTCCCCACATGTTTTATCGCAAGCACTCCAATTACCCCACTCTGTCCACTCCACTGCAAATCACATAAATATAGATATTTGAATAATTTTAAAAATATATCTTGAGTCTGATAATTCATCGAAGTGTTCTAATAATAGTTTAGTAAGCATTTATAATTTAAAATCCCTGATTGTGTGAGTTTCTGTAATACATTAAATTGAAACAGCAACATTTTATTTCTCCTATTTAAACTTTAAAGTAGTAGGCCTATGCACAGAGGTCATCTTTATAAATGAATGAATGAAATAATACAAAACAATATTTAACTGAAAAGGTTCTGTATCTTTGTCAAAGTAACAAGAGAGCTATGCTCAAATATATGGACACGTAGCCCAGTGGCAATAATTTTGATGACGTCATAGCGAGAAAAAAAAGTAATAGCCTTCTGGAAAAAAATTTTATCTTTAACCACTGAAAATATCAAAGCAATTGGTCCAGTATTCGAAGAGAAAAGCGATTTTTTAAAAATGGAGACGGAGACAAATAACAATAACAACAAAATTTTGAAACGATCGTTATCGCCACTAAACGTGTCCAAAAATCCTACATTTGTCCAATTCCAAACACTTTGAATTAGAGGAGAGAGAGATTTCAATTTAACAAAATAGCATTAAGACTAACACGTAAATAAACAATATATTGAATATAAAAGTTCCACAGTTCGGATAATGCCATTTTGTTTAGGTTAGTTTGCAAGACAGACAGACAGACAGACAGACAAAGTCATCAAAACTCTTTATCTTTTGGGCTTGACTGTTTTCAAGCATAGAATACAGTAAAAAAACACAAGAATATACGACAATATAAATGTAAGGTCAGCTAACATGCATGAGTTAAGATAACAAATAGCAGCAATCGCCAATAAAAAAAACAGGAGGAAAGAAGTGACAGGAAGCATCTAGCACCCATCAACAGCCTAAACAAATAACTGGCTAACCAGTGTCATACCCGACATAGCAAGTTTTTATACTCTATATCAGGCAATAAAATGATTGATAAAAAATGAATATGAAATCAGGAGAGCAAACAAAACCTCAGATGAGGTTTGAAACGTACAGAATATAAGATGGAAGGATTTGCCAAAAGGAAGTGGTACATCAGGGGTCGGCAACCTTTTGTCGCTCGCGAGCCAAAATTACGGGTTGCAAGTCATTGGCGGGCCGCACATGTTTTTAGAAAGTTGAAAACCGAACAGATGATCCTTTTTATAATAAAAATCAAGCAGTGATACATCTCTAGAATAGAATATGGATTTATTTCCTCATTGCATCTCAAAAAATTCCATTAGAATATTTTCAACTCTTTGCACTTAGCCTCAACTTTTCTGCGTTTTGTTGCCATTTGTCTCAATACAATTAAATTATGGGCTTAATTAACGGGTAATTGTGAATTATATATTTGTTAGGTTATAATATAATTCAGTCTAAAGAATATAATTGTCAAAACGGCTGTTTTGTTGCTATAATTCAGTGATGCGCCACCCGCGGGCCGTAGGTCGCCGACCCCTGTGGTACATGTTCACTTACCCAAAATTATTACAATAAATTAATTCAAAAACTGGCTCACTGCGACTTACCCTTAGATCTCCGACAAGAGAAAACATACCCAGAAAGATCGATCCTTAAATTCGCAATTGAGTAAATTGGCCAGTTACCAAAGATATGGATTGATTTGATATGGATTGATTTGATTGACTTACCAACAGGTTTTTCAGGCAAGCACTTGAATAGAATATTGACTCTGTAAATATCTTGATGACTGAGATATTTTTTCTCAACTTGTACTGGTTCATTATTTGAGCGATCCATAATAGTAGGTTGACCATTTTTGCTAAAGTATCGTCCAGAGAAATGAATAATAGAAGTTGTATCATATTCAGCATCAAAATCAGTTGGACTTCTTTTAACCCTCTTGGCAAAGGCACTTTGGAAGGCTTTAAAAATAATAAAGTTAAGGATTGGTATTCTGATCCGATCTTTCTGATATTAGTCATAACCTGGTCCTTATCCTTTCTGCTTTGCGAAAGCCATACTGTCAATTTTGCACTTTCGTGGTCATGGTAATAACTCGAAAGATAGCTATAAATTTTTAGTTTTAATCGTTAATATGATACAAGCCTAATTGTAACACAGTAAAAGAAGTGTTTCCTTCACAATTCAATTCAAAAGTTCCAATCTGACAATTTAAATGCAACCAATTCGCTAACTAATTCTGTACATGTCGTGTGAATGAACTGTACAAAAATCAACATTTTTTGCATGATGTATTTATTTTGATTTGGTTCGTCTCCTTATCCTTTTAAACAGATATTTCAAAAATTAAGAACTACACTCAACCTTGCGTAGAATTAAATTCCCTACTGATTCTTAATAAAGAATTTATATCACCTGGTTTTATATTTTCATACAAAATATCAACATAGCCATCTCTATCTGGTCTAGATTGTTCATGATGGAAACCAAGTACATGAATTAGCTCATGTGAGACGGAAGCTTCATTTTCACATCCCACACCTATTGATATATCGTGAGTTGCTCCACTCTTTCCAATACCAGACCTAAAAGCATGTTTAAGTACTGTATCCAAATATTAAAATGAGTGTTTCTAGCAAATACACATTGGAAAAAATTGTCATGATATGGCACGAACAATATCCTCAAATTTTATCATCCCATTATAAAAAAAATTTGTTTGGCTACATTACCATCTTATATATGAAAAAGATTATTATTGTTTTTTGTTCACCATGTATTCTTGAAAACTGTGCTACAGTTTGCTTGTATATATATATACCTTTCTAGCAGAATCTAATATATTATCACATATTGACGATAGTAGAATTGTGTAGAGCAGTCGAAATCATGAAACAGCTTCAACAAATAAGTACAAGTTTAATCATAAAACATACCAACATCCAACCTTGGAAACGAATCGAATGTGTTGTTCTTCTGATTTCCGGGGAACAAAATCTACACAGGTTATCGATGATAAATTTTTAGCTGATGATTCAATAGCAGATCGAGCTTTGCTTGCTAAAATAGAAGGCTTTACCATGTTACATATGAAAAGACAGCAATTATCTGGTCCTCATTAATAATAACGTATTCCTTTTAACTGACTCTTGCCAAACAGATATAAAGCTGGAAAATCTTTCAGATTGTAGGGCACAACAAAGATTAAATATGACAATATCAGGCAAGAATGAGTTATCCCAAGTTCTTCACCCTATTATTTGCTAGATTATGGCACGAACACCTAGCTAGAACCATGAACTAGAAGGAATCTCGAGTTCAGAACACACCTAAAAATTTTATTTTAGATTTTGAAATTGTCCAAAAACGATCAGTTCCTCAAAAACTGAAAACCTGTCATTCATTTGACATATACCGTAACAAATAAAGCATTATAGGACACAAGTTTAAACATAAAAACATTTTAGTAACAGCAATAACTCAAGGTAATCTAATGTGGCTAATAAAGTAATCCTGGAAAAAAAAAATACTTACAAAGCCTCTCACTAATAGTATAAGGAATATTATGTCGACCATCTTCAGACTGTATGCCCCAGAGTGAAACTACTGCTTCAGTCCTCCTTCTACCTGAATCAAAATTCTCCTCAACGTAGCCATAGTCCTGAAAAATATCCAATCTTAAATTTAGAAATATTGCTATAAAAAATTGAACCTGTAATGAACAATTATACACACTGGACAGACTAAATCACATGCACGGATTCTAGAAAGCTCTGCAAATGAGAGGCAAAATTTGAATTTATTGTGTTACAGGACAACATAATGGCGCGATGAATCAGCTTCTTGGACCCTGCTGGCATCGAAGTTTACAGAACTTTTAATCAGACTATATACCATCAATCCGACTAAAATACAATAAAGTGAATAGCCTTCGTGATTCATCAGAAAGCTTCTGGTTTTCCAAGAGACGTAGCATCTCCCTCCAAACCAGTCTTGCCTGTCTAGAGCCTTGTTCAGGGCAAAGATGTGAATCACTTCATAAGAATACATATTGCGGGGTATTATATCTTCGGAAGATTGAATATAAAACTACTTCTGCAATATTTTCTTGAACTGCACCTTTAAAAATGTAGGAAGACTATCCATATCAAATCTTATATCTCCTTCAAATACACCTTCGCTTGCGCATTCACAACTAATCTGACAATCTCTGTCATTTGTCTCATAACCAAATGGACATGGAGATGAACAAACCTCGGTATCAAATCTACAATGTGACTCTGAATAGGTAAAAATAATATTAATAATACTAGTTACAAGACAAGGATGCAATATCAATTGCTGGGGGAGAGGAAAGGCGATATACACTTAATCATACGGCATGCCACAATCGCTCATCGAGTTACCATATCGGGTATTTGACATATGGCTGCAATAGTCTTGTTAAACTAATAATCTTTTTCCAGTGAACCAAATTGAAAAAAACTTGATTTGTCAAATAACATGGAGAAAAGTAAAGGACATATACCGGTACATCTTGATCATAGGCCATCTGTGAATACCTTTTGATACAAACTTTCTGACCATAATTGACAATATATAGTCTGGAACTCCCACTGGTGAGATATACTACATTTATAAAGGCATCATCACATATGACGCATTTTCAAGCAAACATTTCCAGATATCATTGAATAAAGAGTTAATAAAGGTAAAAATAAAGGTTCATAAAAACTTATAATGTATCCCGGACAATACTAAACCATGTCTAAATTGTAAAGTGAATAATCTGTACGAAACACTACACTTTAATCACTGCATTTTAAAATTGTATCCCGTCTAGCAAAACAGTGAACATACTCAGGCATTCATTGATTCCAACAGGATCACCTTTGAATTCAACATGGCAATCTTTCAACACAGTTATAGTTTCTGTTTTTGCTGTAAAACAACATGAAAGAATTTTGAACTGAAAACCAGTTTGAAGAAATAGAACTGTTTTTATGTCTGCCTCTGTATGCATTATGAAAATGGTTAACTATATATGTAGTCCATCATCAACTGTTGAGAGCAATTTTGATATAGCTTCACATATAACCCCAGACAGCAGGTGGAGTAAAAATACAATTAAATGATGCCGATGTCCAAATTAAAATGTCATAACTTGCACTTTATACACCTGATTATTTAACCTTGCAAAGAAAATCTTACCCACAACAAGCACTGTTATGATGGCACAAATAGAAATAATTGCTGAAGCTGAGATGAAAATAACAACCCAGCGTTTCTTTGCTTGTGGATCTGCAGAAATAAAATTGATAATTCAATGATTAGACAAATAAGGATATTCGATTTGCACAAAGCATCATACAAATTAGAATTTAACATGTCCATATAATATTAAATTCATAAATGCATCAATCCGCCGTGGTCATTTTAAGGATGTGGATCCTTCTAAATTAGAAAATTCAGTAATTAAATATTTTGACATATTTTGTATGTAAATTGAAAAAATTGTATTTGAGGCAAAGTATATAGGCGTACATAAGGGGAAGTTTGAGAGTTTTGACTAACGGGCTCCAAACGGATGTATCCCTTGTACAGTTGTATAAACAAATGATTATTAATAACAAAAATACTGTGAAAATACAAAAATATGGAAAATATATGGAAGATTCGAAAGTCATTATACTGGTACCAAAAGTGGCAGCTGAAAATGTGAGTTAGTGTAGGGGGGGACTCTCTACTTACAATAATAAATTCAACTCATAATATAAGCATATAAATGAGAAATTGTCCAAATTTCCCAATGTAGCACCAGGGCCAGTAAATATTTTATTTGAACTCATCCAATCTATGTTATCAGAGAAACAAGGTCGTATTGACTGGGTCTGGTATAGTTTAGTACCACATCCACTTCTTGTTGGCCTGGCTCAACAATTTTTACATATGTCAATCCTAACCCCCACCTGACTACGTCACCGAAAAATTACGTCATTCCGACGTCACATTGGCGTAATAAGGCCCACTGAAGTATGCGGATGGTCGTCCAAAACGCGTAGACGATCACCCGAAATCGAGCAAGCTATTTCTCTCGTTTTCTTGCACAACGATCACGATAGGAGAGAGATCGCTGGCTTTAGCAAGTTCGTTATCGGCGGCGCAGATGCCATTTCGGGCGATCGTAATTATACTTTGACAATCCCTATGACGTGATGGTGACGTCGTAATGACGTAATTTTTGGATGGCATAGTCAGGTGAGGGTTAGGAATAACATATGCAAAAATCGCCCACTGGAAGTACTTGTGGTACTAAACTATACTAGACCCGTATTGACTTAATATAAGAAACAATTGCAGCACTGACCCGTTTGCGACTGGGCTATAGCCTATTGTTAGGAAGTTCAGCGATTGGAGTGAGTTCACTCCAGTCTGCCAGTACGGTACCGACAACAGATTCCTAGCATTAAAGAATTGCCCATACAGTAGGCTAGGCTAAATTTAAACATTTGACCAGTAGACAGTACATATCTGAGTACCGGCACATACAGTCGTACGGTACATATTACACTGAAAGTACGGTGCCGGTACCAGTACAGAACGACGAAACAATGGAACATGAACTGCCCACCGGTCATACCGTACGGTAACGATACCGTTAACTTACCAAATTTTGTCTGAAGATCTTCTCGCGATTCGACTATATCCATTACTGAAATTGTTGTAAATAGCTAGACTAGTAGTGTAAACGAAATTGGCAATAAGCGTAAAGCGGCAACTGCAAAGGTTTCAAAACATTCACCACCAACGTTAGCTGAGCACTCGCCCGCCAAAAGACGATACCGAGAAGAAAATGTCGCGGAGTCGAAAAGTTATGAAATCCGGACCTGAACCAGAGCTCAGTATTGTCAACGAATAATTTACGGTACTAAATTATTTTATGTCAAATCTTACGAAATATTCCAGTTTAGGCTTATGGGAAATCCCACTTTTGCCTAAACACAGGGATTATTTGTACATATCATCATAGTCGACAGCAATGTCCATTGCAGAAAGTGCTTCGAAATCTTCACCGGGTGCACCATAATATTACTACAAGAGAGCTGTGCTCAAATATATGAACACGTTCCCAGAGCGAAGCAGTATTTACCTTTGACGCCACCGGTACCCACAAAAAATTCCGAGTTTCGCGTAGAAATAATTTACAGAATCAAACCGGACAGCCAGTGTCCCCATGGATAAAATAATACAGCGAAATTTTAGACGAAATATCAGATTTCATGCGAAATTTATAAATAAATAAAAGTAATAGCCTTCTGGCAAAAAAATCAATCTTTACTCACAAAAAATTTCAAAGCAGTTGGTCCAGTATTCGAAGAGAAAAGCGATTTTTTAAAAATGATGTAAACAAATAATAACAATAACAACATAATATTGAAACGATCGTTATGTTCACTAAACGTGTCCAATAACTAACTATCGTAGATTATTGTATCGACGTACCACATGTTCACGATAATTCCGTATATAATGCGAGACACTGGATAAGTTACTTTCCATAGCTGAAAAATTCGGTACGTACCGAATGCCGATGCATTCAGTGTACAGTATTGTGTGCGGGCCGCGAATCATGTTTTTTTTACTTATAGGCCGCGAGCCGAGGCCATTTATCTTTCAGTTTCGTAGCGCACATAAGGTAACTACCTGAAAATGATTTTAAAATGTTCCTTAGAAATTTAGTAACAAATATTGCCTTGTTCCCACTTCCAAAAGTTGCACGTTTTACAGAAAAGACGCTTTACTACAATAAATATGTGTTACCATTTGTCCTATTTTCTCCTTCATTGGGGTTTTCAATTCATTTTTTTCTCAACTATGAAGATCTTTTGAGGTTAATGAGGCATTAATAAATAAAGCTGAGGAATTTGTTTGTTCACTGTATGAAGAGGATATGAAGAATGTAAATGATACCAGGGCACGTCTATTTAACACTGGCAAACATAAGGATTATACTCTCCCACCCAACAATGATTCACTGAAGAAGCATGTGGCCCTCAAATCAGTTCTTGAGTTGGCAAACTGCAAGTATATAAAAAAAATAGTCAAAATAATGTATGCAAGTGTGCCAAAATCAACTTATATTGCACAAATTTTTGTTTTTGTATTGACTGCAAAAATCACAGTACACTCTTAGAGGAAAAGTCGATTTTCGAGATAGTGGATTTCGAAAACAATTCAGAAGAAAGTGAATTAGATATTGCAGTTGATTTAATAAGTATCATTTATTTGTTTGTTTTTTCGGACATTTGTTATTGTCGTAGTCCTGTTCCTAGAAATAATATTGCCTTTGTTCAAATACATAACCACATAAACTAAAAGAGGACTAATTGTAATATTTCTGTTCACTATGTTATGTACATATTGTACATTCATATAATTTTCTTGACTTTCTAATTGAGAAATTTCTAAGTGAGAAATAACTGATTTTTTTGTGTTTTCGTGCTCACGATGTTAATTTGTGACTTCATTGCTTAAAAATAAATACCTTTGATAGCTTCTATAAAATGGATGTCGCTTTTTATGCTGTTTTTGTTGTAAACTGTTTGTGGTTATTACATAAAATTTATTCGCTAATGTGAATCAGCGATGTTGGTGTCGCTGCTTTCGAGTTCACTCGCGACTCCTGTCACACAATTAAAGTATTTTTTGTTGTTGGTTACATGTATGCCATATTTTTCGTAATCTACCTAATAAATTATGATTGACTGAGGAAGTCCGATTTTGGTCAGGCAAAGCATTACAGGAATACATTTGTGTTAGTGTGCTGTGGGGCTCTCGAATTGCATAGTTCTTATGTATGTGTTGTAAACTTATGGTTATTGAATTTCCGGGAACCCCTTATATTCAATTTCGCATCAGGATTGTGGAACAAGCTGTAATGCGTTCAGTATGTTCATTTTCACACAAAACTGAAGAATTTATTTAGTCACCAGATGTGCGTTACGAAACTCATTTTCTGGACGTTTTCAAGGCTTCGTCTCACGGCCCATATCCGTGGTAAGGATCTACAAGTGTTTAATAACTTACTTATACATTTTTCAACAACGTCTTAGAATAACTTAACTAACAAGAGAGCTATGCTCAAATATATGGACACGTAGCGCCACCCAGTGGCAATAAGTTTGATGACGTCATAGCGGGAAAAAAAAGTGATAGCCTTCTGGAGAAAAATTTCATCTTTAACCACTGAAAATATCAAAGCAATTGGTCCAGTATTCGAAGAGAAAAGCGATTTTTTAAAAATGGAGACGGAGACAAATAACAAAAATAACAATAACAACAAAATTTTGAAACGATCGTTATGGCCACTAAACGTGTCCAATAATAACTAAACAGGGCTATGGAAAGGCTGCCCAACTCAACGCAAGGTCGAGCAGTAATAACTAATATTCATCCGCTCGCTAACAGCTGATTCAATTCAACTGTTACGTCATGCAGAAGTCATTGTTCATTGCCGAAAATGTAGAGAATATAGGACAGATCGTAGCACATATTTCTTGTAGTAAAAGCGTCTTTTCCGTAGAACGTGCGACTTTTGGAAGTGGGAACAAGGCAATATTTGTTAGTAAATTTTCAAGGAACATTTCAAAATCATTTTCAGGTAGTTACCTGATGTGCGCTACGAAACTCACTTTCTAGGCGTTTTCCAGGGCCTCGGCTCGCGGTTTATTACCCATATTATCACAAGTACAAAGCTCATTTTAAAAGTAACTAATAGTTTGTCCTTTCTACTTATTTTCTACACAAAATGAATCTATGGATCGTTTTGTTAAATTTGTTGTTGTTCTTTTCAGTATTCCAGTATTTCAGTAAAATTGTTCCAGCAGTTAGAAAAAAAGTTGTCGCTATAAAGCTATTACTTCTATTTATTTCAAATATTTCTGTGGGCGATTCGTTTTTCACTTTGAAGTTTTGTGTCATAACAGCATGAAAAATACACATTGCGCGCCCTGTGGCCTTCCGCGATCGCATTTCTGCGATTTGGTGGTCAGCATTGTGGGGAGTTTTTAAGGAGACCCACCAGTACGGTGAAAGATACTACTTCGTTTTGGACATGGTGCATATATTCGAGCATAAATCTCTTGTATTGGTGTATGATCACAGGCTTGAATCTCGATTGTAGGTAAATATGTGATCGCGTTTTTTCCCCTTTATTCTATATCACAAGAGGCGATTTTCTGTGTAGTACTTTTTTATCTTATGTTCATAGCCTATATTTGTTCGACAAATTTTCGTACTGTGTGTCTGTCTTGTTAATTTTTTTGTATCATGTCAAAGTTCCAAAAATATTATATACTATTTGCCGATGCGTTGTCGTCACTCATTCGTTTTGAACTACTGTCTGGACAAGCAACTACTCGGAAATGTGAGAGTGTTCATCAACACATTTAGTGTATATATAAGTAACATATTCGAATCGTGGAGATGTCCCTTTGAACTATATAATCTATATATAACCTGTCTATCTCTATAACCTGTAAAAGTGTTCGTTTTCAACTTTGCAATGAACTGAACAAGGCTCTGTATAGACAACTACTAAACAGTTTGGTGGTGTTTGTATACACATTGGTTTTGAACTACCGGTAATCTATCTAAGCGCAATTACTCAATACTATAATGGGGTTCCGTGACCGAAGATATGGTGGAAAAGAGGGCGATGGTGTGATGAACATACCTGCACAGTATATACGGTGTAATTTGACATGTCAATGTTCACACAAATTTCCAGCAGATGCATCTGAAGAGTCTAGTGAGAAGAGATAGTGTAAGCCGTAGGGCAAAACCCCATAGTTTGAATCATAGCCGGACAATGGCTTTTGCGGAGCTTAAGCGCAAGTGTATGAATGAACTTTTCATGCTTGTACAAAGTGCATACAAGAAAATCTTGATAATGCCACGTTTAGTAGTTGTTTTTATGGTTAGCCTAGTTTACAATATGTCGATGAGCATACCCATGCTTTAGGAGCTACTTTACTTGAGTTATGTGTATATGAACACAGACATACACTTTGACGAGTCGCTTGCTCGGAGCATAATTCGGATCCTATGTGCATCTTTAATAATTTTTTTCACTAGTCGTTATTTAATGCTGTGCATTTTTGGAGACAATGTGTACGTGAATATCTCATCCACGACAGATAGTCAACAAACTACACTGCAGCCCACTTCATACACTCCGACAAAGTTAATATACCCGACCTTGTTCAGTAAATGACAAATTAGATACTCAAAAAACAGATTGAATAACGCTGCGTCTACTGGCACCAGGATATCAGGCATGAGGTCGACAATCCATTGAATGAAGAGCCACAATATAAACTTGATGTTCTTGAAAACACTTTGAGTATTTATTTCAACACTTTATTGGATACGAAGTGTATTTTTGGAAGACCGTTTTGCCAATACTTTTGAAAACATTCGACACTGTACCTGCCATAAAAGCAAGCCTATTTGCGACCCACAAGGAAAGAAACGTCTCAACGGGCTATCTCTGAAGATCCACCGAGAGAATGATCCAAACTGAATAATAATCGGCAAATTTACGCATTCTTGATTTGTTTTAAAAATTGACGTAAATTTGCCGATTAATATTGATTGATTTTTCGAAGCTACATAATAATCGGCAAATTTACCTGTACGGCGTGATCTTGATTTGTTTTAAAAAATGGCCTATGAAATTATTTGTGATTGAAAATATCATTTTTGTTCTATTTGCATGCAAAACATACTTTTCTATCGACTCCGCAATAAAAACAGCCAGAGTCCGCGACTATTCAACAAATTTTTATTTATTTTTGACATGGTCAGTACTCAGTAATCAGTATAGCACAGGG